GAACCAGTAGTGTTCTCCTTTGTATGAAACTAAAGCCAAACAGCTCCTGGCTGTAGTTTAACAAGTCAACGAGTTTAACGAAAGCATCGATCCAGCATTGATATTCTTGGCAAGAAAGCAAAAAAGCAAGGCGGGGGGGTGTTCTGCTTGTGTGGTCAGATTATGCCTGTGATAGATGTTATAGCAGACAGAGACAGAGCTGTCACTCTTCTTTAAAACAAACACTGGGTACACGACCATTGATGTTCACATTAGGCAGCAGATTTCAACCTATCACTACTGAAATTTAAAAGTCATTTAACTCGGTGTGGACCAGGTCGTGTGAAACATGTCCAGCTGGTGATAATCATACCATCTTCAGTCTGGTGTATGATCTATTTCCCTCCACCTTTTTAGCAAAATGAACAAACACTGAGATGGACCTAGCTGAGTCACATCCCTAGCCTGAACCTTTACAACTCTTTTTTTTTCCAGTACAAGCAGTTCTAAGTATTAACATCATTATTTAACCCAGGTTAAATAATGTTCTTCCATCATATCAGGCCAAGTCAAAGATGCTGCCCCAGCACAGGATCAAGATGAGCTGGAGCCAGAAAGCAAGAGGAGGAGAAAAGCCGATGGTTAGTTTTTAAACTTGGGTATTAACCTGGTGGTTTTCACTGATTCCTCACATTAGATTTTGTGTGTTACCAGAGCTTTACTTTGGGGGTTTTGTCCAGCCTTAAAAACTTCTTTCCATCAAGAAGCCTACCCTGGAAGCCTTTTGTAAGCCAAACCAAACAAATGCTATAAATGACTCGGTGTAGCATGTAAAATATAAACCTGTTGTGTTTACAGATAAGCAATATGATTTGGGCTTTCCACACACCTCCAGTACAGAAGTGGGTGGTTCAGCTAAGGGAGATCTTGGAAGTTTTTTGTCTAACCCACCAGCAGCAGGGGCTAAGACGGACAAAATGGAGGAGACCCTGACGTGTGTTATTTGCCAGGATCTACTGCACGACTGTGTCAGGTAAGATTTCACAAATCTTACTTTGTGGTCTCGTTTATCTTCATGCACATCCACCAAATAAAAATAATGTGAGTTTAATACCGAGTGTCATGTTTCTTTTTTTGTCTTCAGCTTGCAGCCTTGCATGCATGTGTTCTGTGCTGCCTGCTACTCAGGCTGGATGGAGCGATCATCTCTTTGCCCTACCTGTCGCTGCCCTGTGGAGAGGATTGGTAAGAACCACATCCTCAACAACCTGGTGGAGGCCTACCTCCTTCAGCACCCAGGTTGGAACAGATAAAAAGAAAAATCATTTTAGAAGCATCTATAATCACACACATTGCTGCTTTATTTCACTCAAAACACCACGTGTTTGCTTGCATGCATGTGTTCTGTGCTGCCTGCTACTCAGGCTGGATGGAGCGATCATCTCTTTGCCCTACCTGTCGCTGCCCTGTGGAGAGGATTTGTAAGAACCACATCCTCAACAACCTGGTGGAGGCCTACCTCCTTCAGCACCCAGGTTGGAACAGATAAAAAGAAAAATCATTTTAGAAGCATATTTAATCACACACATTGGTGCTTTATTTCACTCAAAACACCAGGTGTTTCTACCGAAGCTAACAAGAACAACAAATAATGAATCGCAAATAAGACCTAATTGTCGTGATGATACATGTTCCTAAAAATCACATTAGATGGGAACTTTGCATATGTTTGTGTGTCCCTTTCTGGCCCACAGAAAAGTGTCGCAGTGAGGAGGATCTGAAGAGCATGGACAGCCGTAACAAGATAACTCAGGACATGTTGCAGCCAAAGGTTGAGCGCTCCTTCTCTGATGAGGAGGGCAGCTCTGATTACCTCTTTGAGCTGTCCGACAATGACAGTGACTCCTCAGACATTAGGTAAGAGGTTTGCTTGTAAACTGTCCAGAACCAGTGTTAGTTTAGGCACTTGCTTTTGATTCAGTTTATTTGTTTAAAGATGGTGAACAGTCTTTAGTCAAATTTTAGTCTTTTGACTTTTAATTTTAATCTAGTTTGATTAATGAAAACTAAACACATTTTAGTCCAGTGTTCATATGTGGATTTGTCTAATTTGTCATGCATTTTAAACTAGTAGTTTTTTTTCCTTTGAGGAGCTGCTGCCAACTTTGTGTAGAGCTTTGCTGCAATTATCAGTAGACTGTGCAAAAAGTTTGCATACAAATCAGTTTCTTCCAAGAACCAGAGACAGAACTTAAACAGAGTTCAAAACGTTTCTTACTTGTTGTAGTGGAACAGGTCAAGCGACCTCTGAACCGATACTATGCTAGAGGTTCAGGTCTTTGAAAAGTAACTGTTTGTAACAATCATTTGTCCATTAGTCTTGTACATGATTTTTGTTTTGTTTGTTGACAAAAAATGTAGTACATTTCACTTTTTCAGTGATTTTATGTTTAATGTTGTTTACAAGGAAACGCTATAAAATATTTCTAATTAAATTAAATTTGTCAAATATCTTAAACAGGTGTGAAAATGTCTACAAAAATACCATTAGTGTGCACATATGTATGTATTCATTCACTGTAAAAACAAAATATTAACGTATCTGTGAAAGTCATCAGTGTCCTAAGAATATGTATCGTGCCATAGAAAAGCCATCGATGATGAAAGCTTGGTTTTTGGTTGTTTATTGAACAAGTTCTCTATGTAATTTGTTTGTTTTGGTTTTTAGTCAGACACTAGAGATGTGCAGGCAGTGTCCTGGCTACGTGAGGGAGGTCAGTCAGGTGCTGTTTGCTGCAAATTCAAACCTCTGGCTCCCTGCTCTGCCGACTCCACCACTTATACCACCTCCACCCAAGCCAGCAACTGAGGAGGCGTCTGCAAAGCCCACAGCAGAGCAGCCCTCAACATCCTCAGATATCCCTTCAGGTAGTTGACTATAGATTAGATTTTAAGATTACTAGCTAAAGTTAAACTTTTCCCTCAGTGGCAAATTGCAGGGTACAACATTTTGTAATATTCCTAATGCCAAAGCACTAAGAAGGATTTACAGTGTGTTTTGTTATCAAATGTATGTGATGGCCCATTTCAGCACAGCTGTGGAGAACCCCTGCCTACCATTTCATCTGCATATCTTGGCTCCCATCAAAACCTTTTTTTCTGCTCCCTAGCTGTATCTGCTCAGGAGTACCACTGCCCCCCTCGTGGCAACCATCTCATCTGCCTCTGCTGCATGCAGCCGATGCCAGACAGACGGGCCGAGCAAAACAGCCAGCAGGTTGCTGCTCAACAATGTGAGTGGTCCCTAAGCTTGTTATTTCTCTGCAAACATGTAATGACCTGTTGACTAAATGTAAGTGATTACATTATACTGGCTGTTAGCCCCAGCTTGTGCCTCTTATGCATTACATACATTTGAATCAGTGATATCTCTCTGCTAACCCCGAAAATCAGAACATGGTCACTGTTTCTAAGCCCAGACAGTTGTTTGACAGCACTGACCCAAATTCTGAATGTATTTGCCTAATCTTCGTGGACTCTTTCAGGAATCTGGATTAAAAATAATCCACTCCAGTTCGGGGAAAATATAACTTTTGCCCGACTCTGGGGTATGAGCTATATTCTTGACATAAACAAAGATGGCAACAGGAAGTGACATTGTCTCTCTTGCTTTAGCTGAAAGTTGAGCACAGCTCTGCCAGGGGTCAGCACTGATTTACCTAGTTACACAGTCGTCACGGTTGTGAGAGTTATCACTGTGACTAGGAACAGCAGGCATGAGAGGCACAAGCTGGGGCTAACTGCCTGTCAGAGAACTACATGTAGCAATTACCGTATAAGGAGAATTAATCTAGGAAACTAAAATTCATTAAAAACATAAGCTGGTTGGTGCTGGTGTGCCTTAAACAGTGTTAAGATGATTTAGTATAACGACATATCTGACAGGAGGTATGCAGTATATGTAAAATCAGCAGCCCTGTTTCAGTTGTGGAGTCCTACAAGTCCCTGGGCTCCACAATCTCTTGGGACTTGAAGTGAACTACCAACATCAGTGACATCATCAAAAAGGTGCAACAGAGGATGTACTTCCTGTGCCAGCTGAGGAAGTTCAACCTGCCCCAGGAGCTGCTGATACAGTTCTACAAAGGAATCATCGAGTCTGTTCTCTGCACCTCCATCACTGTCTGGTTTGGCTCAGCAACCAAACAGGACAAGTACAGACTTCAGCGGACAGTCAGGAGTGCAGAAAAGGTCATTGGTGTGAGCCTGCCCTTAATGGAGGACCTGTACACCTCATGGGTCAAAAGGAGGGTGGAGAGGATCACTGCAGACCCCTCACATCCTGGACACAATCTGTTTGACTCCTCCCCTCTGGACGGTGTTACAGGACACTGTGTGCCAAGACAACCAGGCACAGGGACAGTTTCCTCCTAGGGTCCTATGAACAGTTAGTCTAGGTTTTGCTCTTTTAACTTGTATTTATTCCGTTTTTATTGTTGTGCACATCAGGGGCCATTGTGCTACATTCAGATTTCTTGTATTTTTGATAATATTGACAATACAGTTTATGCTTATCATCTACAGTAATAGCTGAAGTACACTTCCAGCCCTTCACATAGCTGTGTTACAACACCTAACATGCATGATGTCTTATGTGTTGGCAGGTGTGCTGTGCGAGCGTCCCTTCTGTCATATGTACTGGGGCTGCCAGGGGATTCGCTGTCAAGGCTGCTTGGCTCGATTTAGTGGTGTGTATCTGTTTCAGGAAAACAGCCCCAGGGCCGTCTTCACTAGTGTTGTTGCTGGGTAGCAGGCTTCAACCAGTATTATTTATTTACTTTTGGCTGTTACTGACATACCTTTATTTGAAGGGACAGTTTGTCAAACTATGTCCAGTATCTGAGATGACTATCATCTCCTTATTATTAGCTCTTTGTTTCACCGTAAATGTATTGTCATTAACAGATTAGCAAACTAAAGAAATATGTTTCCCCATATTTGTGTGAAAGGTTAACATGTCACAATAGAACAAATGTAGGTACTTTCCTCTTAAGCAAGCACTATATGGACACTAGATTAATTCTGCATGTAAACTGAATTAAGTATGTACAGTCACGACCAAAAATATTGGCACCCCAGTATTTTTGCCAGATAACACACCACTTCTCCCAGAAAATCATTGCAATCACAAATTCTTTGGTATTCTCAGGTCTTTGTTTGCACTAGAACAACACAACAAAGCAGAGAAAAAAGCCAAATCTGATCCATTCCACACAGAACTCCAAAAATGGACTGGACAGAATTATTGACACCTTTTCAAAATCACCAGAAATAGTTGTATTTCAAGCATGTGATGCTCCTTTAATGTGTAATGAAACTCTGTTGTAGCAACCAACAGGTACTGAGAACAGAAATCACACTGGCAACCAGTTAAAATGGATAAAAGTCGACTCAACCATTGTCATGTGGACCACACTGAGCATGGAGAAAAGAAAGAAGAGCAAAGAACAGAATGAGAACCATAATAGTGGAAAAGCCTGGACAGTCTCAAGGCTACAAGTCCATCTCCAGAGATCTGGCTGTTCCTGTGTCTACTGTGCACAACCTTGTCAAGAAGCTTACAGCCCATGGCTCTGTAGCTGGTCTCCACGTGGACGAAAGAGGAAAATAGATGACGGATTGTTCCAATTGTGGATAAAGAACCTCGACTTCTTCTTCTGAACTTCCAGATAAATTCAAGCTGACCTGCAGGCACAGGGTGCAACAGTGTCAGTTTGCACTATCAGTCACCATCTGAATGACATGGGATGCTATGGTAGGAGACCCAGGGGGCCCCCACTGCTGACACAGAGAAATAAACCAACCAGGTTGGAGTTTGCCACAACTTACCCGAGGAAGCCACAGTCCTTCTGGGAGAATGTCCTGTGGACAGATGAGACTAAAACAGAGCTTTTTGGTCGAGCACATCATTCTACTGTTTTTGGAAAACAAAATGAAGTCTTCAAAGAAAAGAACAAGGTCCCTACAGTCAAACACGGTGGAGGTTCACTGATGTTTTGGGATTACTTTGCTGCTTCAGGCTCTGGATGTCTTGACTGTGTGTATGGCATCATGAAATGATGATTACCAAGGAACTCTGGGGAGCAATGTAGGGCCCAGTGTCAGAAAGCTGGGTCTCCATCAGAAGCAGAACAATGACCCAAAGCAGACTTTAAAAAACCCCAGAAATGGTTTCAGACAATGTGCTGGAGAGTTCTGAAGTAGCCAACAATGAGTCCATAGAGCACCTGTGGAGAGATCTCAAAACAGCAGCTGGGAGAAGGAACCCTTCACATTGAGAGACCTGGAGCAGTGGTCTAAACAAAAGAAATAAACATGATAACACCAAAGAATTTGTGATTGCAGCAGTTTTCTGGGAGAATAGGTGTGTTATCTGATAGAAATGCAGGGGTGCCAGTATTTTTGGCCATGTCTGTAATAACAAGACAACATGAAATCAAAAGCCCAGTTCAGCAGTTCTGCAGACTGACTATGTTGCAAAATCACCTCTGTGATATGACTCATTTATTTTCTCTGTAGTTGGTTGTACTGCACATGTTTGTGTTGTAATTTGCCAAAGGTTTGACAGTTCAAATACAGATGTTTTTTTTTTTTTTTCCCCCCCCCCCCCCCAGAGCTCAATCTGACAGACAAATGCCTGGATGGTGTGCTAAACAGTAACAACTACGAATCAGAGATCCTGCAGGTAAGATGGACATTTTATATAAGTGAATTGGAATACATTGTTTAAAGCATCCTGGGTAGTTGAAAATAACTGGAGCAACTGCTACGTTCATGATGCTCTGTGACACTTTGGATCTGTGTGTCCACTACTCTGCTTTACCTGCTCTGACCTCAGTAAACTTTCCAGATTACACAATATCAACTGTACCAACAGTATTGTTAACCGCCGGCCCGTACTGATGCTATACGATGCTTTAAACATGTCTGCAACTACTGTCATATGTGGCGCTAAGATGCTTTTGTTTGCGTTTCTATCCTTCCACCAGAACTACCTGTCCTCCAGAGGGAAGTCATGGAGAGATGTACTTCAGGAGTCTTTGCAGGGCTTAGAGCAGGGAAGCTACTATCTGTCAGGTGAACCCTCAGATACATTTGGGCAGATCTTAAAAATTCATTGTGACACTCCTAAAATACTGTGTCCTCCTCGATCGTATCTCGGTCAGATTGCCGTATCTCTGCGAACACCATCCTGTGCCTCTGGTGTGGCCTGAGAGCATTCAAGGAGCTGGCCTACATTTACAGACAGAATATCCCTCCATCTGAACTGCCAGGTAAATGCAGCATTTTTGATCTTATTTACTGGTACAAAGACAAAGGGATTACTGCTATCATGTAGAATGAGACTTTCCACTGTTTTGTTTTGTCATACCCATGTATTCACTGAATTTGATGTTTCCTCAGCTGCTGTAACATCTCGTCCTGACTGTTACTGGGGACGCAACTGTCGCACGCAGGTGAAGGTGCATCATGCAGTGTAAGTCTTATCAGATGCAAAACACCCCATAAACTCCTGTGGTCTCAGATAGCATATCTGCCCTCTGGTCAAATTTCAATTAGTATCACATTGAAACATTTTAAAGAATGACAGCTGGACAATACATTTGAAGCCATAGATTTTTTGACTTGAACTTAACATATTTCAGAACGATGGCTGAGCATTTCTAGGTGCTTATCCTAGAAAGCTACATCTTATAGCATGCTCTTCAAAAAAACCTGTATGTCATAGATACTTTTTTGTATTTGTTTTTGCACCATGGCAACACCGGGCCCTCAGGTTGTTGAGTCACAGATCTGTAGTGAATAGTTCAGACAATACCTTGGACACATGAGAAAATGGGGTTCTAGCCCTGTGCAGTTCACCTATTACACCACTAGAAGGCATGCTTGTATTAGCATGGTCTGCTGAATGAAAACCTATGCAAGATGGTTCATGTTTTCTCATCTCCTTGGTTTTTGTGCTTTTGTAATTTTATATGGGTTCTTCCTTTTATTTTAATTTCAGGAAATTCAATCACATATGTGAGCAGACACGTTTCAAGAACTGAAGGAGCACAGTGGCTTTTCTTCACCTGCCAGCTGTCAAATGTAGATAGTTCAGCATCTCATGCACTGAAGAGAGAGAGAGAGAGTCTTGTTAAACTTTATGTCCAGTGGAGCTAACTGGCTTCCAGATGTTATGCAGTAACCTAATGCAGAAATTACAATCAGTATTCACTTACAAATGAAAATGTCTTACTTGACACAGGGATGTGTGAAATAATGCTATGCACGTTGGAGTTTAGTAAAGTTTCAAGCTGCTTAGTATTTAAGGCCTGGTTGTGCATTTAACAGCAGCCACCATTTAAACAGTGACACATTGTGTCTGTGTCTCATTCAGGTAACCAGCTACATTTTGAAGGTTTCTTTGTTTGGATGATGACAGTTAATTGTTTTAGCCTGTGGAGCAAAAAAATGTTTCCTTCTCAGATTAAGAGCGAGTCAGGCAGTCTGTATGGATATACACAGAAAACTGAGTACACCCCTGGTCCATATCACTCAAACGTTAAATGATTCAAAGACTTTATATTCTCACAAAAACTGTATTACTTCCAAGATGAAGTGTAGGGTGTTTGATCAAATATATCATTAAAAACATGATATAGTACATTGACAATCTCTGGCCTCAAAGTGCAAAGCCAGTGCAACAAAAGTCCACCTGTGGTTTCCAATTAAGGCTAATTGCATGTACAAAGATCTAAATTAATCTGTGAACACCACCACACCACTGTTTTCTCACTTTTGGCCCAGGATGTGTCTAAAGGAACATGCAAGACTAGTGACATCCATGTCCAAGAGGATCAAGTCTGTCATCACAAATAAAGGCACAATGCAAAATATTAAAACAGGAGTCTCAGTAATGATGTATTGATTATGTTGTACTTTGTTCTTAAATATGAACCTAGTTTGAATCTTTTTTTTTTTTTTGGCTTCACTATAAACAAAACTGTATAACACATGATCTGTAATTTAACATTTTTGTGATATTGACCAGGGATGTACTCAGTTTTGTCAGTTTGCTGTGTACACTTACACATGCTGGTGCACATGTTTTATATTATGTCCTTCTCTACTCTCTGTAATTAAGGAGTAAAAGACCTTCCTTTATTTATAATGTGTTTTAACAGTCTTAAGAACTGCTGTGTTTAGAATCCAGGGCTCCCTACAGAGTAATGGTGACAAAAACATCTGGTGAATATCATTAGAGAAACACTAATGACAGTAATTAGGGTAGTATTAAATACTTTGCAGCACCATTTTGGGCCAAGACACAATTAGCTTTGAAGATCCTTACTGCTAACTTTAAACAATATTCGTAAGCGAACGTTCCATCTCCAGTGGACTATTCCTGTTTTGCAAGGGCATTACTGTTTTCCCTGTCATGGGCAGAAAGCCACATCAAAGCCCCACACAGTGTGGTATTTATATAAGATTTCGTGTGTGTGGTGGGGCATCGGAGTATTGTAACGTTGTCTGAGGGCGCAGAGACCTCTGTTGTATGCTTAGTTCTGGATAATCATCTCCGAGGCGATTAAAGTAGTGTAGAAGGGACACATCCTCATCACCTCTTAGCAGTGGCTAAGCTATGATTAAAATAGACTCCAGTCCAAGCAACCAGCAGTGGCTAAGTCAGCTGAGGCTGCTGGTGCTTGTACTATACTATGTAGTGTTTCCATACACTTGCGTAACAGCTGAGAGAATCCTGCCAGTAAAAGCACACCAGTACATTGTTGTTAAAATATATGTGTGCTCCTATTACATATGTTGTTGTTTACTTTGCAAGAATTTTAATCGGGGTTTATTCAGATTAGTTGATCAGTGTATTGAAATTTGTTAAAATTAGTTTTCTAGTTCCTTGTGTACAGGAAGCTGCTGTCTTGTTTTTAAGTTAAGGTTGGCCATTTTTGGTAGCTAGTAAAGTTCTGTCAGCATGTAAATGCTGACATTGAACAGTCATGTTGAATCTGATGGGGGGGGTTCTTTCTAATCACGTCTTTGGTAATGCAAGTGCAGAATATTATAAACTAATGTGCATTTCTGACATAGTAACAATAGTGGATATGGATACACTGTGTTTTGTAATGTAGCTCTTCATATTTTTGTTAAGTCTGGGTGGTTGTGAATGGGAACATTCCTGGCCCCTCCCTGAGCTTCTTAGTTAATGTGTCTGTTAGCAAGGCGCTTTAGGTGTTTCTTTTATTTATTTTTTGTTACGCCCTCAGTCATTGTGGGCCCACACTGGCATTCCTTAGCGGCTCAGACCCTCAGTACAAGCCCAGTCGATCCCCTGGTGGAGCGGCTGAGTTGTAATTATTCCCTGCAGGAAAGCTGGCCACCCTAAGCCAACAACGTTCTGCAGCCACTCCAATCAAGAAAGGGTATTAAAGAGGTTTTGGAGGAATGCTTTGCATTCTCCCTGTGTTGGTATTGTGTTGTATACAAAGACAAAATATTGACTCACTTTGCAAAAGTCTGGACCAAGCTGCTCAAAAGTATGAAAGAGGCAGGTTTCAGTTCTACCTCATCACAGCTTCCAGGTATACGGAAGACGAGACGTGCATCAGAGTCGCATTGGTTCAAGGCTGGGCATACATTTCAAAATGAGGGCTGGAAGTCTTTACTGATGTCTGTAAACACGTGCAATGCACTATCTGAACAAGTGATCTAGATTATAATCAACCTCTAGTTAAATCACTATGGAGTAGCACTGGGCACATACAGAAATGTTTGCATATGCCTAGTGCTTATTTTCTTTAAGTATGACAAACGCTTGTTTATCCTGTATATTGTATTAACAATGTTAATGTCTGAAGTGTATATGGTTCTGATTTGCCTGGTAATCTTAAGAAATTAAAAGACTAATTATAGAGAAACAGACACTTTTTCCAGTACATTAAGTCCACTTAAAAATGTATTTTGCTTGTTACTTCATTTGGATTGAGCTTCACACTGCAGAATGTTTCTGCAGTTTGACATTAGAAGACTGTTTTCACAGGTTTGTGTACACCTTGAGTCCGAGCTAAATATGTGTACTTATGAGCATGATTCTGTGACAGCTTGGAAATCCCTTTTAGCTTTTATTTGATATCCTTGATGTCAGATGTCACTTTCCTCCACTAGTTTGGTTTCTGTCAGCACTAGTGACATTTTGTTGTACTAGTTGATCAAAAACACTTACTAGTCTCCCTTTTAACCTTACTAGTTAACCAGTGAGGTCCAAAATATCCACTAGTTATACTAGTGAGACACATTTTGACTTGACTAGCAAGGTGTAAAACATTCACTAGTTGAACTAGTAAAAGCCAGACTACTCTCTAGTTAACTAGTTGCACAAAATGCTAATGAGGAGGTAGAGAAGAAGAATACATTGAGACATCCTTTTAGCTCTCCAGTTTAAAATAATTAACAAAAGGCCAACCAATAAGGACTCAGGATTTTGTCATTTCCCTCCTGCTAGGCATTTACTAGTTTGGTCCTGAGAGCCACTAGTGTGTCAAAAAAGTGACTAGCTGGGACTTTAGAGCTACTAGTACAATGTCTGGCGTTACTAGTACGGCTTATGTTGGAACTAATTGGACAAAAGTGCCACTGGTTGCTGACAAAGAGCAACTAGAGTTTCTGTTCAACTAGTGCAACCAGATGCCCAACTATTGCTGACAAAGACTAGTGGAGGAGAATGACATCTGATACCAAGGATCTCAAATAAAGGCTAAAACAACTTGTCATACATGGTCTAATGTGTCCGGTGTAATTTCAGCTGACTGCATTTGTATTTCTAGTTTGACTAAACCCAAATTTGTTGCATGTACATCCAAAAACTCTTGTTTGACAAAAGTTCTACAACGGACCATGACCGCAAGTTCTGGTTTTGTTCCAAGGTTTTTTGGGATTCCTATAGATTCTGTATAAGAGCTTGCATCACATAAAGGACACATGTGAATGACATTGCCTTTATTAAAATTTTGCATTACATCAGACCTCTTTTTAAATACTACTGTGAATGCTTTATACTACATTATAGTGTATATTAGTACTGTATATACCTTAACTTTATTTTGATTTCCCTTTTATAATCCAGTATCAGCTTTCGGAGTACATAACCTATGCAGTGATATTAATGTATGATCTATGCTTGCAGAACACTTTTGGTATAAACATTCAAAAAATATAACCACATTAAGGAAAAAGCTGAAAACTGATACAGGAAGCACAAAATCCTGAATCAATGAGCTATTGAAGGAAGGGTGCAATGGTTGGAGTACTATAGCTCATTGAACAGAAGACTGATTAAGAAACCTGTATAAAGTGCTCCTAAGCATTTGGGATTATGGAGTAGTCACTCATAAAATACTTTTGTTCATGTTTGCAATCTTTTTAAAAACCTAATACATCAGCAGTCAGTGCCTTGGCATAGTAAGCAGCATATTATTCCATCTTTGTCCAAACAACTTTATAAAAATAGAAAACTAGAATGAGAATATCTGACCAAATGAAGCTAGAGAATTTCTAGTAACAATTTTGTAAAAGCTGGTCTTAGAAAATAAAGAAGTAGGTTATATATTTTACAAAGTGGCACTACCTGAATTTGGAAATACACAACTGGCCCACCAGGGTCCCTACTCAGCATCTGGTTATTCGCACTGCACAGCGCTGCGGGCTGACGGAGACAACTGGCTGTCGTTACCCGTGCTCAACTCTGTCATCGTGAATGGTATGTTGTTAGAGAGTGGACCAGCTCCTCCTGATGCCTGGCTCCCCCATGGCCTCCACTCTGGCCTGGCCCTCTGGATTTGGGGGCTGAGACTGGTGCTTCCCACAGTACGCCTCCTCCCCTCATATGTCCCCGTCATCACTCCATTCAGCAGAGCAGAAGCAGAGGTCTGGTCCAGGTGCTCTGCTGAGACCAGAGGCTGCCAGTCGTCCTCTTCAGAGATGGCAAACACCGGCACACTGATGTGATCACCCTCAGCTTGGCCACTCTCAATCTGACACTGGGATGATGAAGAGCCAGAGTTGGGTTCTGAGTTGGAGCCATGGGCATGAGGTACCCCAGAGGCCTTCGTTGGGTCTGCTGTCCCAGAGAGCAGACCAAAGCAAGCCCCTGTGAATCGCGAGCGTCGGAGGTTGCTAGTGGAGTTGACACGCCATTGTCTCTGGGTGGGTTGCGCAAGAGGGTAGGAGGCATTGCTGATGGATGAGTCAGAGATTGTGCCATAGTCAGCCTCAGCCTCCAGGTGAACATCAGAAGAGATCTTCCCGCTGTCATCCCCTCTGCAGTTAGCGACCAAACTGGAAGGAGCCTAGAACGATATGCATGATATGGTTTGTCTTCTGCAATAGAAACGTCTCACAACAGACAATTAGACTTATCACAGTAGGAAAACAACTATTAACACTAATGATGTCTCCATTCCATTCAAGTGTCAGTAAGACATGGCAGTGTGGCAGTGAGCAAATGTACTTTACCAGGACTGTAACACTGACACATCAGTAGAATGAGAATAGAAACAAGTCAAATGCCTGCAGTAAAAAATGCCTGACATAAAAGTGCCTGTGATACTCAAACTAACCATTTTGCATCACCAAAAAGAAGACAACATTTCGTAGTATTACTATTAAAAGTACTGAGATCATAATTAAAGGTGGTGTACTGGACTACAATTAGAAGTGTTCCTAATATTCTGATCCTCTCATATATGTAAGTGGGGAGGAAAAAAATATAGACACACCTCTGAATATAATGTAGTCCAGTTCAACACCTTTAACTGGGACCTCAGTAATAAACATAATTGAATTTATACATTTATGACAATTTCACCAAAAACAAACATTTTGAGCTTCATAAACACAGATGTTAAGGTGGAAGTGTTGCGTTGTATTGTATACATTTGTAGAGATGTACCTAATAAAGTGTCCAGTCGGTGTATGCAGTCCTTGTTAATAAAGTACAGGAAGAAAAGTCAGCTCACCCAAATAAGAAAGAATATATTTTCTTAGTTACTCCTGGTATCTAGGTATGCAGTTAAAAATTTTTTGTCCAGGTTTTCATAAATCAAATATCTCAATTTCCTGCCTCCGCCTTAACACAAGGATTTTTATTTGCGCTGATTCACACATTATTCTAGTTACCCTAGAGCAGGGGTGTCAAACTCAATGACACAGGGGGCCAAAACTCTAAGCACACTTTAGGTCGCGGGCCGAACAGGATAAAAATTTATTGAACAGACTAAAACTAAACGTTTTTTGAACATAAATATGAATCGAAACAGACAGGATACAATATTATTTCAAAATAAATAAACTTGAACTTCAGCAGCTGTATTTCTGCTAAGGCTTACATTTACAAACACCTGCTTTTTTGTCTGGACACAAGACGTCTCACACTTTCATCATACAGCTCTTCAGAAACTCTCCCTCGGTAAATGTCCGGGCTGATTTTCTCCTCTGTTAGGTTATATGCTTTAATTACAGCCACATTAGCTCCACAAATAAGACACACAGGTTTACCGGCAATGTCAGTAAACATATACTCAACCTCCCACCGGTTTAGAAAGGCTCTGTTTTCATAATCAACTTTTCTCTTGACCAGTGTTAGGGGCTAGCTTTCACTTGAAATGAGGGTTGTATACATCAATAGACGCTTGATTGATCTGAATTGACGCGGGAATGATCTCAGGTAGCCTATCGTTCGGTAAGGCAGCTGTTGTGTTGCATTATGGGATTTGTAGTTTGTGTGTTATCGGCGCTTCATATCGCAGGGCCATTAAAAAAAAGATGTATAAAATGATCTCACAGGCCGGATGTAATTGTACACCGGGCCGGATGTGGCCCGCGGGCCTTGAGTTTGACACATGTGCCCTGGAGAATGTTATGATGTAATGATGTCTGGACATTGTACTCAGTATTAGTGATTGTGTAAAACCAAAACTATCATAGTTAAATGCCACAAAAAGTCTTTAGTAATTTTGGGTGAACTGACCTTTCAAGTCAAGTAACAATATCCATGAAGACAATTTTAGAAAAAGGAACTGACTGCTCCTTTATTCACTAGGTGACATGATATCACTGACTAATCCTCGAGCGCACATGCCATAAATGGCCCTTGGTGTGAGAAAACAGCAAAGCAAAGGTTCTAGTACTGACGCTGTCCACCAGCTTGGTGAAGGGACTGGTGGAGTTCCAGCTGCACCACTTCTTATGCAGCTGTGGCAGTGGAGGGAGGAAGTCCTGGAAGGTGCGTACGCTCCATGCTCTCGGTCTGGCACAGCCACTGGTGCCATCCTTGGTAGACCTGGCATCAGTGGTTGAGGCTGTGGAGTCTGGTGAGAGCCAGTCACGTGCAGGGCTGGGACCAGTGTCACTGTGCCGCAGATCCCTCTCCCGCTGCTAGGACACACACAGCACATGAGAAAATTAAAATGAGTATTGGACCGTGCATGCAATGTGCATCGGCAGATGGTTTTCAGGTGACCTCAGCATGTGCACTGGCAGCCAAATTGAAGGGTTTTAGCTGTCTCAATAGGTTATACTGAGTGAGTGAAACTGTTATTCAACTGGATGGAAACTACTGGGAATGATCATTTTGTCATTGCCAAACATGATCCCTTGCTGTTCAGCATCCAGACAAGGAGGACTATAGTTCCTCATAGGGAAAATGTGAACCAATCAAGGAGGTGCTGAAAATCTACATTTCATGTAGCCAACTTTCCCTTGGGGTAAAAAAGATAAAAGACAATGGCTTAGAGAGGATAAACTAATTAGGAATGAAGATGACCACACAACATAAATGGCTCACATATCAGAGCTGGCATTATGTTTAAGCACTCAACTGCAGCTACAATGGTCAATGACCTGTACTGAGCAGCAGGCCGGTTACGGAGTCTTTGGTATTAACCAACAAAAACTAGACTCAGATAGCAACGACAGCACTGCTTTAGTGCTGTATACCACTGCATTGTAAATGCTAATTAAAGGAACTATTGGGCACCAGGGACAAGGTGTCAGATCTGTATAATCCATTGTGGAAGTCAGACAGCAAAAGACAAGTACAGAGAAATGCCAGAAATTTATACATTTTTTACCAAAAAATTACACCTCAAGCAATAAGTATTCTTACTGCCTATTGCTTAAATTAAATAGCTGTTATTCAGAATGACAAACTTAAATGTAGGGTTATTAAACACTGACTGGCTGCCAGTCTGTTGGTTGCACCTGTCACGTTTTCTCTTCATACCTGAATTTCCCCAGCAGACTGTGTTGCATACTACATTAGTGGTTTAATAAGAATAAACTGTGGTGATTAGCTCGGCCCAATCAGTCACACAGGCAGCCAGCAGAGTGTCTGTGGCTCACGCACCAATCTCACTCATTATTTATTAAGTATATTAAATCTGTCAAGAAAACAGCAGGGGTTTTGGAACTGTTTCAGCCATGTTTGTGGTGCTGTGTGTGCACAACTCTTGTAATCAACAGTCCAAACAAATCACTGTATGAGGAGCAACTACTGTATTGAGACTTTTGTATGAGCAACACGAGAAGCTAATTGTCATAAGTTAGATGTCTGAAGGCTACTTTATCCTTCCTGCCGTTTATCAGGGGAGGGGGAAGGTTTCAGGGGTTGCACCCATCATACAAAGAACGAGTCCAGATATGAATTACATGACATGAATTAGCTAGGGGTTTAAATAAAATGTTCTTTTGGTTACTAAAGCCCCAAGACTACAATGGCAGCTGTTACGTTCAACACATGAGGTGAAAAATCAGCCACCAAGTACAGTCACTTATAAACTGTGGCTCCAAAGGTGAGGTGTGAGACCCCTCACAGGTGAGAAGAGAAGCTCAACATATTCATTGAATTAAATCTTGTGAATTTCAAATAGTGACAAATGTACAACACCACTGTGATCCAGGCTTCTCTGTCTTGATCTCATCACCCTGCCTACAGCAGCAGCAAGTCTTCTCATTGCTTTATTGTAAATAATTGAAGTTCTTCCTGTGCAACAAAATGTTAACAAGTGATGTTCATTGCTTAATGCTCATCTACACATTTGAAGGTGTATGACAATCTAGAAGTTCACCTGGCAGTGACAATGGGAACATGAACTGGGCATGCAACATTTACATGGATGTCGGCATAAAGGACACACACAGGCAGACCACACACTGTGTGCCAAAGTGTGCATGACACACACCAACACACACACAATTGGAGCTGGGAATCTGGCTCTGTAGATAAAACTCCATTAGCCTAGGCTGCAAAAAAGCTTGCCAGTCCTTCAAAAAGCTGCCAGAGCTGTTTTATGCCAACTCTTATTCCAAGAGAATACAAAAGAGAGCAGAGAAAAAAATGCTTGGTTGAACTGTTGCTTCTTCCTCAACGCTTCTTTTAATTATCCTCATTTCCCATTTACATCATCATAGTTTTCATAGCTTTAGACTGTACCATGCATACACAATAAAACAGTGGCAGTTTTATTAGGAACATTGGGTCAGTTCGAAACAATGAATGCCCTGTCACCTCTGATATTCACTGGTTTAGGGATCTTTTCCCCAAAGCAAGGACATCACCCACAGAGTCTGGCCTTGAGATTAAATAGACAATTTCACTGTGCGTTGTATAGCATCAAGGCTACCTGATGCTATGTTTTTCCCTACTTATCTGGAAAAGTGAGGAGATAAGACTGAAGGTCTACAGCCATGCTAGTAGCTCTGTGAGGCCCTGTTTTGCAGGTATTTCACTACTTTAGCTTAGCATGCTAGCATGCTATCATTTACTAATTAACACAGTATTGATCATGTGGAAATTTTGACCAGATGATGGTCATTAAGATACTTTGCCAAGGAACTATGAATCTGTACCCAATTTTGTGCTAATCCATCAAGTGGCGGCTGAGATACAAAATGAGTGAAACTGTTGGCTTGATTGAGGAGAAGTCAGAAAATCACCAGAAGTCATTAGGCTTCATTCACTGGGGGCCATCAACAGTATTATTAAATTTCTTGATAATCCATCAAATAGTTGATATTTTAGTCTGCACATACCAACCGACTGCCACTGCCATCCATAGAGCAATATTGCTAGCATGTCGATTTTTAGGACTCCTGAATGTTTCTCTTTGGAGCATGTAATGTCCTAAAAGTGTGACAGCTGTACTGGCATAAAACTCAGTCTTACTGTGTGAGGGGAGAGGTCTAGCCTGCTTGGGCTAGGGGCTGAAGATACAATGAAAACTTCATCCGCACCAAGGTCGAGTTCAGTCATACCACTGCAGGAAAGGTCCAGGTCTGCACTCTGGGAGATGTTGACACCAGCACGGACTGCAGAAACACGAAAAATAAAAAAAAATGTAGACAGAATATGTTGAGACAAGGCCATTTTAATAGTTTGCCTGAATTGTAATAGGGCTTGTAACTATGAGTTGGAGCTCACAGCTGTTTCAGAGAGAAATAGGTAAAGCAGTATTTGTGTATTCTAGCTCTAATAACAGTGTAATTATGTGTAAATTAAAATTTTGCACATTTGTTTTCAGCACTGAATTTATTCTAAAGCTCTGCACTGTTTCATGCTGCATTTTTTGAATAAGGACTGTTTGCTACTCACAAAACACTAGAGCTTATGATGTACAGCAACATAACTGGTTCAGAAACAACATACAGAGTAGGCTAATCTCAGCTCTTTCACTGTTTACAAGCTATGTGTTTTGGTGTAAACTCTTTAACATCATGACTGGAGCAAACAGAGAGGGGGGTGCTGTACTCTCCTGTTGTTCAAACTACTCCAGTGCTGCTTTGTGGGTTAAATGCCACAAACCACAAATCTCTCAGCTTGGGTTCAGTCCCACTGAAAGAAAGAGAGAGAGAGGGAAGTCTTCGAATTGTTCTGGGATCAAGCCTTTGTGCTGCTCCAAAACTAATGCAATTTTCCTTTCCATTGAAAACTCTACAGACCCACTAAGAGTTCACAGAGAGTTCTTTGTACAGAGTTTGTTTTTGATTTAAAGTATTACAGCATATTTACAGTAAAGAGAATCATTTCATTATACGGTATAGGACATGATTCAATCTGAAAAAAGGGTCATGAAAGTGTGTAACATGTTGGGCAGATCTTTGCGAGGAAAACTCCTGTAAGACAAGAAAGATTTCCCATTTTCCATTTCTACAAAGAGCAGCAGTAATTTCTAAATAGAAGAAGACCTAGGCAGTTAGTGTGAGCACTGATAACCACCACAGATGAACACACAAAGAAAGATCACCATGTAGAGATACTCATAAGCACAAAATCCAGTCCTGTGCTGTTAGACTGACAAATCATCTCAGCAGCAGAGGCACAGTCCTCAAACCTCAGGCCTTCACTTTTAAATGAATCCACTGAAACCTTATCAGACCTGCTTTGCCAGGAAATGAATCAATGGCAGATTTATATTCCAGAATGTATTACTATCATTACAGAAATTATTCTAGTGAAAAGTCTAAACACATTATCTAGATCTAAATCTCAGTATCAGTCTAACTCTCAATGAGTAACATCGACAGTATTGTACAATTAATGGGCTTTGGGTTTGTTGCAGTGCATCGTACACCATGTATATAAAGGTTAAATGAGCCGAGCAGAATATAGATTTACCCGATTTAGAAAAACAATCATTAAGAGCTTTACTTTTTAATGTTTGAATTAGGGTGAACAACAGCAGCTCAGTAAATCAGTCTATCCATTGTGTGTGCATTTGTGTGTCCTCCCCACCTCTATGTGTCACACTGTCGTTGATGTCCTGCTCTATGGTTGCCTCCAGGTTGGCCTGATTCTCAGCCATCAGCTGCAGTTCACTGACCTCAGCTCCAGTGTTCTGGACTCCCACTGGCACCTGCAACACAGTGCAATGTCACAGACCTCATCCACAGTACTTCATCACGGTACCAACAGTGCAACCATGTTCAGTACAGGTCTTCATAGAACAAGCTCCAAAGCCTGCAATGGAAATGTCTCACAAATACAGATCTACATCTCAGTAGAGCAGCAGGCGACACCAACTTATGGCCAGTACACTTAGTTTGAAGTTTTTCTATAGTTGATGTATTTTGAGGTTTAGGGTCATCATTCTGCTACATCACCCTGCTTTTCCTGAACTTCGGCTGCTGGACAGCCAGAGTGACATTATCCTGTAAAATACCTTAATAAGCTTGGGAATTCATTTCACCCTCAATAATGGCAGCTGTCTAGGCCCAGAGGCAGCAAAGCAGCTCCAAATCATGATTTTTCCACTAGTGCACTTCACTGAATAATGTCTTCACATTGGTACACAGTGCTGTGTGTTCTTCCTAAACAATTCACCCTTAGTTTTATCAGTCCACAAAAGACTTTCCCAGTTGCACTGTGGAGTGTCAAGATGCTCTTTGGCAAACTTCAGGTGCACCTGATGTGCTGCGGTATGGTTGGTTTCAGCAGCAAAGAATATTACAATAAATGTCCAGTAATCCCAGATAAAGTTCTGTATTTAGAGGGATGTCTGACAAACAAGGCAAGAGAGAGGAAAAGGCAAGTGGGAGAGGAGAGTGAGTGGCACATAGAGATGACAACAGGACAGAGAAATGGGAAGAAAGAGTGCACAGTTGTGTCTGTACCTCAGAGTTGCTGGATGTGCAGGAGCTGGCTCCCTTTTGACACAGTTTGGGTCTGGAAAACATGAAGTCTCACAGTAATTAAAGACATAGCCCAAAAAGCAGCTTTTTAAAATATCCTCAATGTTTTCCACAGTATTTCCTCAATTATAAATAAATAAATAAATAAATAAAAAAACCTCTGGTGTTCACAATTTGACACGAAATGTAAAAACAGACAAGATCCCATTCATTTGCATTGTACTGGAGAGCTTTCTGATATAACCAACTCACTCAGAATATGAGCTCCAAAATAACCATGGCTATTTATAGTTAGCGACAGCTGGTATGACCCTGCTGGCTGTCATTTTAACCAGAAACAGTGATGATCAGCAGAAGATGCTACCAGATGGTGTGACCCCCTCATGCCTGAAAGTGTGCGCTGATCAGCTGGCCCCCATCTTCACACTTATCTTCAACAGGTCACTGGAGCTGTGTGAAGTCCCCTCCTGCTTCAAATGCTCCACCATCATCAAGGGCCCCAAGAAAACCTCCATCAGCGGAGTGAATGACTACAGACCTGTCACCCTAACATCTGTAGTTATGGATTCCTTTGAAGAGACTGGTGTTGGCCCATATGACATCGTAGACCCCCTGCTAGACCCCATGCAGTTTGTCTACCGGGCAAACAGGTCAGTGGATGATGCAATCAACATGGCACTGCATTACATCCTGCAACACCTCGATTCCACAAAGACCTATGCGTGCGTATTCTTTGTGGACTTCAGTTCAGTGTTCAACACCATCATCCCAGACATCCTCCACTCCAAACTGACCCAGCTCACTGTGCCTGCCCCCACCTGTCAGTGGAATACTAGCTTTCTGACAGACAGGAAGCAGCAGATGAGGCTGGGGAAAACCACATCCTACACCCGGACAATAAGCACAGGTGCTCCCAGGGATGTGTGCTCGCCCCTCTGCTCTTTTCACTCTACACCGATGACTGCATCTCGAAGGACCCCTCTGTCAAGCTCCTAAAGTTTGCTGATGACACAACGGTTACTGGTCTCATCCGAGACGATGACGAGTCAGCCTACAGATGGGAGGTTGAGCAGCTGGTCCTGTGGTGTAGCCGCAACAACCTGGAGCTGAACACGCTCAAAACAGTGGAAATGACAGTGGACTTCAGGAGGAGCCCCCCCCCCTCACCATACTTGGCAGCAGTGTATCAGCACTAGAGTTCTTCAAGTTCCTGGGCTCTACTATCTCCCAGGACCTGAGGTGGACATCCAACATCAGGACCATCACCAAGAAGGCACAGCAGAGGATGTACTTCCTGCGCCAGCTCAGGAGCTGCTAAAACAGTTCTACAGAGGAATCATCGAGTCTGTTCTCTGCACCTCCATCACTGTCTGGTTTGGCTCAGCAACCAAACAGGACAGGAACAGACTCCAGCAAACAGGACTGCAGGAAGAATCATCGGTGCCAGCCTGCTCTCCATGGAGGACCTGTCCACCTCACGGGTCAAAAGGAGGGTGGAGAGGATCATTGCAGACCCCTCACATCCTGGACACAAACTGTTTGACTCCTTCCCTCTGGACAGCGCTACAGGTCACTGTACACAAAGACAACCAGGCACAGGGACAGTTTCTTCTGGGCCGTCACTCTGATGAACACTTAACCCATGACTGTATAACAGAAAACAACCCTCAGTGCAATACCTTGTAAATATACTTTTGTATATTTACAAGAAGAAGAAGATATATCTGAAATTTCCATCTAAATAAGTACTTTATTTTTAATTTTCCAAATGTATATTCCCTTTTGTTGTTTGTACATTATCTTTATTTTCTTGTTCTCTCAGTCTTATTTTGAGCAAGTACCCACTAATTAAAAATTACTCTTACAGCTGAATGAGTTATTTACCAGCCCCCAGTCAACTTAGGGCAACCCCTGCTGTGACTTTCATCCACCTTTGGCTGGTTTCTGACCAGAGGAGACCTTAGGAATTAATCTCACTGCTGCTCTAAATTTTCCAAATTTCACCTGACTCACCAAGATAGTTGTTTTCCATTTAACCCTGTGAACTTGTTTAAATTATTAAAGGACAAATGAATGAGGGGGAAAAAACAGGTACTAAGGCAGCTCATGAGCGCTTCATGGTAATGCATTTCCTGGCTTCTGAATGACACGTTGTTGCTCTTGTTAATTACACTTCCTATTTCCTTGTTATTAATAGTGAAAACTTCCGGAGTTATTGTGCCTGACAGATGAACTGGAGACACTATGCCGTAATTGACATTAATAAAATCATACTGTACAGGCGTTTCTCACAGCAAACTGAATACTGAAGGCTGTCACAAATCGAAACCTTCCTGGATCCTGAACATCTGGACCAGTAGGGTTAAAACAGTCAAAACAGATAGTATTACAAACCTTCACACTTAACCCCTCAGTCTGTGCATATTGTCCCCTGGGATTGCAAAGGGAACAGCTTGTAAATTACACCTTTTGATCTTCTGACAATGCCATCTGTACCAAACTCACATTGAGTTTTACTTCTCCTTGTTGTCCCTTTATCCCTGCCCATTCACTTTCATGGAGCCTGTATTTTTTGTGTGCTGGAATTGATGCCAGGTGCTGTACCTTTAATGCACCGCTGTCTATGGTGAGAATGCTCCACTTCAAGAAGGCCGCACAGTTGCAGCCAAACCCAACTAATCACCAAAGGCCACCACATCAGGGACTGAGGCTTCCAGCTGAGTCAATATAACAAAGTGGTGACAGTGTATGTGTGTACAAGTAAGTTTCTATGTACAGTATTTACTGTCAGTTCAACCCACATTCATTCATGGGGCAAATCAAAGATAGGACTTGTGAATTTTCTCAGGAAAATGTTTAGAGACGACTAAATGTTTATCTGAGAAAACCAGATACTGCCAACAACCTTACTTAGGCTTACTTAGACACAGCAATGCTTTAAGATAAAATGTTTACACTGTTCGCCATCTTAAGTTAGCATGTTAGCATTTGCTATTAATTGTTAAATACAAACTGGATGCTGGGATTAGATTAGGCAGTTGTTGATATTCTGCCATAAAACAAAATGGTGAACCCAAACAACCAAGATCTCCTGAGCCACACACCTAAGTAGGCTGAAAATGTTTACATTACATACATACAATACATATCAGTTTTTCCATCACTTGGTAAAAATGACCATAATGTATCTCTGGCAGTTTGATATGTGTCACCTCATTATCTGTTATTAAACCTTCTTTTCAATTTCCAGGGTTAGGTGTTAGGGTCAGGGCTAACCCTCTCTTCTGGAAAAAATTCTCTCCCTCTTACTACTGTGTTTTTTCCCTTTAATTTCATCCAGAAACTTCAGTGTTGTTGCAGGTCACTAGTGACAAACAGAAGTCAATAGCCAATTGGATTAAGATGGTGGTTGTAAGACTTACAGTCCATAACCTGTTTTGTCTGTATTTTTTTTCTCAATAAAGTTACTCTACTTCTGTTACCTGAAAATGATGCAGAGGGCACTTGTAAGAATCATAGCTAAGAAGGCAGCTCCACCAGCATAGAGTCTACCTTGCTGCGTGCGGGACTGGAGGCACGGCGGTCCCCCGCTGGCTCGGTCAGGTTGTGGTAGTGGAAGAGGAGAGCAAAGCCACGGCCCCAGTGGGTGGTGGTGATGAGTTCCATGATGACTTCCACCATCTCCTGGCTGGAGCCAAAAACCAACTGGCTGCTGGGAGGCCGGTTTGAGCCACAGAACCTGGAGGAGAAGGTGATAAGATCTGAGATGTACAGGACATCGTGGGGGCAGGCGTCAAACACCGACTGCTGGGTTTCAGGGCTCACAGCTGGAGCATCAGTGGAGTGTGGTGAGGCAAGTGTGATCTCCTCCACAGGTGTGCTTGGGTCCGACCTGGGGTTGAGGTGTCCCTCACTGTGTGACAAGGAGGCAGAGTTGACGGCCTTGTCTCCTGGAGGCACAGCCCCATAGGAAGGAGATGGTGCAGACAGGCCAGGTGAGGCATCTGCAGATCTTTTGGCAGAATTTGAGATTTTGGCAATCTCAATCTTTGTGGACTGTTCCTGGACCACTACTTGCTTGACCTCACCATCTTGAGAGGACTGCAGAGTTTTTGTGACACCCATTACATTTTGAAGCACTGAGTCTTCGGCTGCCGATGGAGTCTCACCTGCTGCTAAACTGCCAGGAATGAAAGTCATCTGTTCGTCTGCCTCTTCCTCTTCAAAATTAGAGATAGCTGAGTATTGTGCTGTGGAGTCATTGCTTTCAAACACATCAAAGTCAAGTATCTCCAGAATAAGCTGGTAATCAACGGGCACAATGAACAGC